TCTCGTGAGTCCCCTGCCAGGAACTGGCCTGCAACGCAGGCATGTGCCCTGACTGGGAATCGAACCGCGATCGTGTGGTTCGCAGGCTCGCACTCAATCCACTGAGCTATATCAGCCAGGGCAAGATTCACTCTTTGTTTTTAACCTTTCAAACTTTAATTATGATGTGTCTTGGTGAGAGCCTCTTTGGGTTAATTTTTTTTGAACTCTCTGTGCTTCTTGAGTTTGTGTGTCTTTTTCTTTTACCAGGTTATGAAAGTTTTCAGTCCCTATTTCCTCAAATAGTTTCTGAATCCCTTGCTCTTCCTCTTCTTCTTCTGGTACCCCTATGATGTAATTATTGTTATAGTTCATGTTGTTCAAAAGGTTTCTTAAACTATTCCTATTTTCTATAATTTTTATTTTTTTTTGTTGTTCTCATTGAATTTTTTTCTACCTTATCTCTGAAATTGTTGACTCCATCTTCTGCTTCATCAGCCTACATTTTATTCTTTCAAGCGTGTTCTTTATTTGAGATTATATTCTTCATTTTTGACTATTAATATTGTATGTTTTCTATGTCCTATTTTATGCTGTTAAGCAGTCTTATAAACATTACTTTGAACTCTGTATCTGATAAATTATTTTCCTCCATTTCCTTTAGCTCTTTTTCTAGAGATTTCTATTTTTTTCATTTGGGGCATTTTTTTATCTCCCCATTTTGTCTGCCTTTTTGTGTTTTATTTGTCTGTATATTAGATAGATCTGCTAGGACTCCCAGCCTTGGTGGAATTGGTTTTATGTAGTAAGTGTAATGTTGGGTTTTGTGGTGGAGTCCCCTTGATCACTTAAGCTGAGAGCTCTAGGAATGTCCCTTGTGTTAGTTTTGTGGATCCACCTATTATAATTGAGTCTTTATTGTTCTTGGCTTATTCATACATGGGATCAACCCTCAGGCAGGCTTAATGAGAGGCTCATTCCTAATCACATTTTGCAAGCTGCTGTACAGGTGATGACACAAAGCAGAATTCAACCAGCAGCTACTTATGTCTGCTAATATCCCCCTTTGGATATGCAACTCGTGATGCTCAGTGGATTTTTTCTAATGTTGTGTGAAGCTGGCCAATCATTGTTTTGGTTCAGGGCCTCTTGGGAGAGATTCTTATGCTGCCCAATGTCATACACTGACTGTGACTGGCCCTCAGCAACCTGTTTAAAGCTGCAAGCAGTCCACAATTTGTGGCAATCTTTGCTGAATCTGGTACACATGGGAAAGCCCAACTGTTCACCAAAGTGAACTTTTACCAGCACTGGGCATGGGTGCATGTTTACAGATGTCTCTATTGCCCTGAGATCTGCTTCCACCTTTTTCATCCTGCTGGCTGCCTGCTAGGTTCAGCCAATGAAAGAGCCTCTGCCAGTACTTGAGTTGTATGAGGTAGTCAGCAGGTAGGGTGAATGGTGCTCACCTCACTGATACCAGTTCAAATTTGTTGGCATTGTTGGGTCTGAGGCCACTCTGCAAATGTTCCCTAGTAAACCAAGTTTAGCTCTGTCCCAGACATTATGTGATCATTATCTTTGTGTTGGAGAATGATACCATAGAGTCATCAGAGTGATTGTAGCAGAGTTTATCAGGCCCAAACAGCCCAAGACTTGGCCATGTGAAGGGAAGGCTCTTCTCTGATTAGACATGGGAGGGGAAAATGGCCCCTGTCTTAGAGCTACCCAACTCAGTCTCTCTGAAATTTTGTGTTAACTTTTTCAGGGCAGAGCTACTAGGACTTGGGGATGTAGAGCCACTGGGACCTGGAGGGTGAGTCTACCAGAAGGCCAGGAGTTAGTGTAGCAGATTTTCAATGAGGAAACAGCATAAATCAGGATCACAGGAAAGTGGTGGAAATGGTCCCTACCCCAAAGCCACAACTCAGTCATTGACAACCCCTAATTCTGTATGAAACTATACACCCTGGTCAAGGGATCTGACTCTTCCACAGGGTGGAAGCTCCCCATGGTAAGGCAAGATATAGTCTAGAAGTTGGAGTTATTGTTTTTCACCAGCCTTATGTCACACAGTGTTCTATTCAAGAAAGATGGTATTTGTGGTATGCAAGAGTCGATTAGCATAGAGGTCCTGGTGGCTGTTTCTTCAGCTTTCCACAGAGCCACAGACTAGTCTGCTCCACCTTTCCCCTGACAACAACAAGAGTAAATGGCTGTTTAAACAAATTATGCACATTGGCCTTTTAAAAGGGCTCCTGTGTCTCTAGCAGACGCCTGTCTTTTCCCAATGGGCAGAAATCCTGCTGCTTTTCACAGGCAGATGTTCTTTGGGCACCTATTTCGAACTCTGGTGGTCTGGGATGGTGATCCTGCCTTGGGGTTACTTCACATAGCAAACTGCCTACAGTTGAGATATCCTATGGGAACCTCAGCTACTGTCCATGGGAGTGGGGCAGCCCTTTTCTTATCTCTGCCCTCCCTGACAGTCTGAATGTAGCTTCTTCTATAAATCCTTGATTATAAGACTTCTTTTCAGCTAGTCTTCTGTGGGTTATTCATGATAATTTTTCTATAATTTACTTGTAATTCCAGTTTGATCCAGGAAGGAGGTGAGTGTAATACCCACATACTTCACCGTTATATGATTTTCCCAATACATTTTCATTTGATCCATGATCCCATGCTAAAGGGCTCAACAAGAGCATATGTAATGGAAGCAAGTATTGCAACTAGATGATCCAATTTGGGAGGGAACATGAAATTTTGTAAATATCTGCATATATATTACAAGGTTCTTTCCCACAAATATTTTTGTCTATTTCTGAAAGAGGTCTGCAGGGATAAAAATCTTGGAGGGTGGTCAGTAATGGACCCTGACACATTGGTGAATAATCTACTTTCTTTTTTTAACTGTTGACAATCTTCCTTATTTTTACTTTTACTTTTTATTTATTTTTATTTTAATATATTTTTATTAATTATGCCATTACAGTTCTTCTATTTCCCCCCTTCATTTACCTCCACCCTGCACACCCCTCCCCACCATTCTCCCTTTTTAGTTTATGACCATGTGTCTCAAGTTCTTTAGATTCTATATTTCCCATACTATTCTTGCCCTCCCCCCCTATCTATTTTCTATCTACTGTCTATGCTACTTATTTTCTGTACCTTCTCCCCCCTTCTCTTTCTCCCACTTCCCTGTTGCTAACCCTCCATGTGATCTTCATTTCTATGGTCCTACTCCTGACCTAGCTGTCCTCTTAGTTTGCTTTTGTTTTAGGTGTGGTTGTTAATAACTGTGAGTTTGCTGTCCTTTCACTGTTCATGTTTTTTATCTTCTTTTTCTTAGATAAGTCCCTTTAACATTTCATATAATAAGGGCTTGGTGATGATGAACTTGAATTTGATCTTATCTGAGAAGCACTTTATCTGCCCTTCCATTCTAAATGAAAGCTTTGCTGGATAGAGCAATCTTGGATTGTAAGTGTTTGGATTTCATGACTTGGAATACTTCTTTCCAGCCCCTTCTTGCCTATAAGGTCTCTTTTGAGAAATCTGATGACAGTCTGATGGGAACTCCTTTGTAGGTGACTGTCCCCTTATCTCTTGCAGCTTCTAGGATTCTCTCCTTCATTTTAATCTTGGCTAATGTAATGATGATGTGCCATGGTGTGTTCCTTCTTGGGTCCAACTTCTTTGGCAGTCTCTGAGCTTCCTGGATTTCCTGGAAGTCTATTGCCTTTGCCAGATTGGGGAAATTCTCCTTTATTATTTGCTCAAATAAGTTTTTCACTCGTGGATTTTCCTCTTCCCCTTCTGGTACCCTTATAATTCGGATGTTGGAAGGTTTAAAGATGTCCTGGAGGTTCCTAAGCCTCTCCTCATTTTTTTGAATTCTTGTTTCTTCATCTTTTTCTGTTTGGTCATTTTTTTCCTTCTTCTGCTCTACTCCTTTGATTTGAGTCCCAGTTTTTTTTCCATTACTATTGGTTTCCTGTGTATTTCCATTCATTTCAATTAGTTTAGCCTTCATATGTTCCTCTAATTTGTGATTAAAATCAACCAGTTCTGTGAGCATCCTGATCACCAGTGTTTTGAACTGTACATCTGAAAGTTTGGCTATTTCTTCGTCACTTATAGTTATGGGCTCTGGGGCTCTGAGTTGTTCTTGAGCCATGTTTTGATCTGTTCATGCCTGTTAAGTCTGAGGAGCAGAGCCTTAGTTGTTCACCAGGGTGGGGCCATCCAGGTCACTGGTTTGTGACATTATATTTGGGGGCATGGTGAGAAAGGGGACACCCAGGTCGCTGGTTTGTGACACTTATGTAGAGGTGGGGTCAGAGAGGGACAATGGTGGTTCCCTCTGCTGATTCCTGCTGCTTGGGCCTGCTCAATCTGTCTCACTGCTAGCTCCTTCACTGTTTTATCTGCGTGTGAATATGTGACCTCAATCAGTCCTCAGTGGGTCCATCGCCTTGCACCCTCAGTGGGTCCAATGCCTTAGGCCCTAAGTGGGTCCGCCTGCTTCTCCACACCTGGGATCCGCCCACAGCTGCTGGCGGGCACACCTGGGTCACACACCCAGGTCAGTCCAGTGGATCTTTCCTGCCCGACCCCACTCTGCTGCTGGCTCTGCCCCTCTTACTGGTTTGGCTGAAGGGTTTGTTATTGTCAGACTTACATGTAAGTCAATTTTCTGTGGATTGGCTGTGTTTTTGTTGCTAAAATTTTGTTGTTTTTAAACTTAGTTGTGGGAGAATTTGCAATGCTTCCACCTACGCCTCCATCTTGGCAGAAGTCCTATTTTTATTTTTTAAAGATTTTATTTATTTATCTTTAGAGGGGAAGAGAAGGAAAGAGGGAGGGAAATATCAGTGTATGGTTGCCTCTCATGTGTCCCCTGCTTGGAGCTGGCCTGCAACCAAGGCATGTGCCCTGAATGGGAATGGAATTGAGGTTGTTTGGTTCACAGGCCCGTGCCCAATCCACTGAGCTACATCAGCCAGGGCTTTATTATTTTAAATATGGAGCACTTCATGAATTTACTTGTCATCCTCTCTCACAGGGGTCATGCTAATCTTCTCTGTATTGTTCCAATTTAGCATATGTGCTGCCAAAGCAAGTACTGTTTTTATTGCTCAAAGACATTTATATCCATTTTCTCCCATGACATGCCCTGCCCAACCATTTGCCACCTTCTACCCTTGAACCTACCGCCTTTGACATTGTCCATGTGTCCTTTATATGTGTGCCCTGATGGCTCTTCCCCTATTTTCCCCCATTATTCCTCCCCCCATCCTGGTTACTCTCAATTTGTTCTTTTTTTCATTGTCTCTTGTTCTATTTTGCTTGCTTGTTTGTTTTGCTGATTAGGTTCCACTTATAGGTGAGATCATATAGTATTTCTCTTTCACTGCCTGGCTTATTTCACTTAGCACAATGCTCTCCACTTCCATCCATGCTGTTTCAAAGGATAGAAGCTCCTTCTTTCTGCTGCTAGTATTCCGTTGTGTAAATGTACCATAGTTTTCAGGAAATTTTTAAATTCTACTTGGTAAGGAAATTCTGTCATTTTATGTATATAATTAAACTAAATTCTTATAGTAAAACTTTGCTAACATACAAGCACATTAATTTATAGATGTCACTTGGGAATTCTTAACTGAAATGTTTTTATTCCTGAAAAGATATTTAGGGAATACATTCCTGAGATCTAACTAGAGTATTCGTTCCGATGGCTAAAGGATAAATAGGACTGGGGAGGTTATTATATTTACCATATATTCAGGGAATATTTGCAGAGGAAATTCTATGAGTGAGGTACAGTTTCAACTATCACAGAAGCTTTTACTACCAAGTTAAGGTTTGACATCTATTGCAAAATTACTTCAGACAATGATAAAAGTAAGAGATGTTGTTATGCTTCCTGTTAAAGGTGAGATCATATGGTATTTGTCTTTCAACACCTGGCCTATTTCACTCATCTCACCTTTAACAGGAAGCTAAACAACAAAACAAACAAGCAAGCAAGCAGAATAAAAACCAAGTCACAGAAATAGAGAACAAGGGGACAGTGACCAGAGGGGAGAGGGAAGGGAATTTAAGGGGAAAAAGGGGGAGGGATTTGGAGGAACAATTAGGAAGGACACAGGGACGAGAACTAAGGGGGGTGGAAATGGGAGGGAGGTGGGCAGCATGGGGCAGGGGAGGCTGGGATGGGAAAAATAGGCAAAAAACTGTACTTGAAAAAAACTAAATAAAAAATTTTTAAAAAGATATGTTGTTATGATGTTTTTTTCTCCACATGTATCTAAAGAAGTGCTATTCATCTCAAGCCAGTCATATAATAGGCCATTGCTTTATTATAACGGTACAGCTACTGCTAAAAGTATATTTATAAAGGTTTCCTGATACTTTTAGATATTTTAGACTCACTTTACATATTCTCAGTTGTAATAAATCTTCATCCTGTGACAATATGTTTCATTGCTGGAGAAAATACAGAGTCATAGAACATAATATGGCAAAAGAAATGGATGATGAATTTGCAATATTTTCAGTTTTGGTGCAAAACATTTCAAAGAAGACATCTTATGATTCAGAGAATCATTGTGCTAAAGAATCCAAAATTCTTTCACAAGAAAGCTGATTGGACATTTAGCTTCATTAAACATTTTTTTATTAAAAATTTCTACTTCAGGCAGTAAGGAAAGATTTCTTGGATAATGCAAGAATGGGACACTCTAGACACAGCTGCGTTATTTTCATATCATTCAGAAAACATGATGTTACAAAATCTATTTTCTTCCAAACTTAGTTAATGTTTTCTAGGTTATCTTAAAATAAGTAAAATCCATATCAAATGTTGAATATTTGTTATTTCTTTGCATTCTTTTTAATATGTGTATTTTTCTCCACAGAAACTTTCATAATGATCCAGGCTTTTATTCATGGTGAGACTCAACTGTGTTTTTATCTGATTATAACTCCCTGGCCATCTTTTTCACAATTAGTTAATAGTGAAATAAGCTAAAATTTGACATCTTATTAGGACTGTATCCTCCAGTTTCTTTAAATCTGGTGATATTTAAATCCCATTATTTAGAGACTATATAATATACAAAAATAATTCTAAGGAATTAATCTCAAATGTAGACCATGTTTTATGCTCAAAGATATTCAACACTTTGTTTAAAATAAGGACCCTTTTGTTGTAATATTCAAACACTCAACTAAAATTAGATTTATAAATGAGGAGATTATTAGCTCATTGAGCAAGAGACATAAGGAAAAGAATAAACAAATGAGACTTCATCAAAATAAAAAGTGTCTGCTTGGATAAAGAAAACATCAGCAAAAAGAAAATAGAACCAACTGTATGGGAGAACATGTTTGCCAATGATACCTCGGACAAGGGTCTGACCTCCAAAATATATAAAGAATTCACATTACTCCACTCCAGGAAGACTAAAAACCCAGTTAAAAACTGGGCAAAGGACCTGAACAGACACTTCTCCAAAGAGGACATACAGAGGGCCCAGAGACCTAAGAAAAGATGCTCAGCATCACTATCCATCAGAGAGATGCAAATTAAAACCACAAGAGATAACACTTCACACTGGTCAGAATGGCCATCATAACCAAATTAACAAGTGCTCGTGAGGTTGTGGAAAGAAGGGAACCCTAGTACAATGTTGATGGAAATGCAGACTGATGCTGCCACTGTGAAATAAATATGGAATTTCCTCAAAAAACTAAAAATGGAACTGATTTTGATCCAACAATTCCATCACTAGTATTATACCCTAAGAATCCTGAAACACCAATTCAAAATAACCAATGTACCCCAATGTTCATAGCAGCAAAATTTACAACAGCCAAGTGGTGGAAGCAACCTAAGTGGCCATCAGTTGTAGGGAGCTGTTCTGTGTGGCAAGGGACTGTAACTCAGCCCCTACTCAGAAAGGCCAGTGGAGAACGAGTGAGGGGGCACACAAGGAGCCACTCCCAAAGATAGGTTTTCCTGTGGGAAATCAGGCCTGCATTGTACCTAGGCTGCTATGAGGCTTGCTTTTGCTAAAACTCCCTCACCCTGAATTGAGGTAGAAAGTGCTTACTGAAACTTCCTAAAACCTGAGCTAAACCTCCCAAGTATGAAATGTAACCAATCCAGCTACTTTTCTCTTTATATTTGCAAATATCCTTCTTCTTTGATGTAATTAGCAACATCATTTCCTTTGTTATCTGTAAAAGGTAACCACCTAATGTGAACCTGAGCATAGTAAAGGAAGACCATCCTCAATGTAATGCACTCAGAAAAACAATAAAAGCCTGTCTAGGTTGGGGTCGGGGCCCTCTCTTTCACTTAGAGAGTAGCTGTGCTGTCCCTTTTCTCCACATCTGTAATCTGTGTGTATTTGTTCATAGCTACCACAATACACAGATCCTGTGGGCCAGGATCCACATTAATCAGTAAATGAGTGGATCAAAAAATTGTGGTACGTTTACATAATGGAATACTACACAGTGGAAAGAAAGAAGGAGCTCCTACTCTTTGCAACAGTATAGGTGGATCTGGAGAGCATTATGCTAAGTGAAATAAGCCAGGCAGAGAAAGACAAATACCATATATCTCACCTTTAAGTGGATCCTAATCAACAAAACAAGCAAAGAAGCAAAATATAACCAGAAACATTGAAATTAAGAACTAACTGACAGTAACCAGAGGGGAGGTGGAGGATATAATGGAGGGATAAGAGGGAAAGGTTTTCAGGAACATGTATAAAGGACCCATGGACAAAGCCTAAGGGGGTTAGATGGAGGGTGTGAGGTGGGGATGGCTGGTGTGGGGAAAGATGGGGGTCGGAATAGGGACGACTATACTTGAACAACAACAAAAAAAAGAAAAAAAAAAGAATTGAGTAAGGAAACTGTAGCAATGTCAGGAAAACAACCTTGCCTCAGGAGCAACCGGACTAGAAATTCAAATGTTGTCTCTAATATGTGTTTTCCTCTGAATGTCTGTTTCATTGTTTTTCACTACAGATCAGCTCTTACCATATGACACTATTTGCAGCTGCCAACAACTTCTAAGTTTTTAACTTACACTTTTAGCAATATAAGAGACAATGTTTTCTTGGATTATAAATTCAAAATGTGTAGCAAAGGAAATGATTAAGCAAGGTTGAAGTCAGATGCTAAAAATACCTTTGGTAACAAGGTATCTGGAACATGGGTAGGATTAGTTCCTAGGAAAATAAGTGAGAAATACTGGGCAGGATAATAATAGTTAACTGCTAAAAGTGTAAGCATTGTAAGTAACACAGATGCCTCCAAATTCTTGATTTGCAAAATAGAAAGGATATGCATACTCAATGGAACACATGGCACCATTAAAAGTAATGGAAGAAAGTATATGGGGTAATAAATGGTGATAGAAAAAAATAAAATATAAATATAAAAAGTAATGATTAAAAATAATGTTACCAATATGGATAAACTCCATTTTTATAACTTAAAAGAACAAGAAGCAGGATGCAGAAAAGCATATAGAAGAGTATCTTAATTATATGGAATTCACAGGAAAATTTGCAAAACCATGTGAAATACTAATGTATTTACTTCGTATGTTTCTTGTTCCTTTATGCATATTTCTACTTTCCCTTTTTCTAACTTTCCTAGAGTTTATTCCATTTGTAAAACAAAAAAAAAGCCACTAAATAAATTTTCTTACACTTGACATTATCCATCCCTATAAGCCTTTTTAAAATAGTACATTCTCATTTTAAGATTTAACTTCACACATAATTTGATAACAATTGTTACTCAAAATAATGGTCATTCATTTTTAAAACTTGTCCTGGAGAGAGCAATGTGCATTTCTTGTTATCACAGCTGACAGCACAGCATGGAAAGAATGACTTAAAATATTACTGTTGCATGATGAAATCTGTCACCATAAGTACTTGAAATAAGTAAATACATTCTTCCTTTTTTCCAGAAGTACCAAATTAAACTAGGTATCAGTGAGTTATTCACTTTTGTGTCCTATCATTTTCTTTCAAATTTTTCTGTAAACAGTGGTATGTTCTTCATTTCTTTTATTTCTTTTTTAAATCTAATTGTC